TTTTTTTTTTTTTTTTTTTAATATTGGTATATTTGACACTTGACAGTACATTATTGTTATCCTATATTTTATCACTTATATTTTCTTTAATCATTTTTTTTTCTTTCTGCAGCAAATTCGGGGATATTTTCGATGAGGAATTCTTCATATATGCTCTTAGAAATCACGTTAACGTGGTTAGACAACTTCCTGAAGATATACTCCAGCAATTTGATAACAATATAAGCAACATAGTGAATTTGCGGGTAAAAGGATGGTCGAGCCCTAAGTTTTATCTTGAAAAGGTTCTACCGAAGCTGGTGGAGTTAAAGTACTGATATCTACCCTTAAATGAAAGTAGATAGCCCTTGAATTTATAATAAATATAAATAAAGAAAGAAAGTGTAATCATGAAAAAACTGTACTTTAATGATTTTGTAACAGGGCTGTCCGTATAGCGCCTTTCTCAAACAGATTGGCTCATGCAGTCCCTCCATATATCCAAGGGCTTAGATGCCTATGCAATTTTGAAGCACTGAGATTTTCGGGACCCATACGGATGCTAGCCGCCAAGATGGTCGATCGGATGGTGAAAAATAGTACTAAAAGTGGGGGGAGATACGTATCTGTACACCTTCGATTTGAAGAGGTACTTTTTCTCCTTATTCTTTAAGGCTATGTTTGGTAAACCTAGCTTGTAAGCTAGCTGATAGATGATAAGCTAGATTATAGCTTTTAATTGAATTTTGAGCTTATAGCATATGACTTATGGCTGAAAAACTAATGGTAAAAGTGTTTGGTAAAATGAGTTGAAATAAAAATTTCAACGAGATTATTTGAAAAGCTGCCCAAAGAAGCTCCTGAAATAAGCTCGAGCTTTTTAAAAAAGTTCGTTGTACCAAACGAAGCTTATTTGAATGCATGAAGCTTATAAGCTAAGTAGCTAACCAAATAAGCTATAAGCTAGCTTATTTGGTTACCAAACGTAGCCTAATTCTCTGGAAAGATTCATAAAATTTGAGAATAATTATAGTACCACCAAAATTAGCTGGACTTTTGTAATTTTGCATGTTATCTGGACTTTATTGTTAAAGGTTTCAACTTATAACTATGCTGTAATGTTCATAATAAAACCTAGGAACAAATGTCAAATGAGCTATTTATAATCTTGGAAAATAAACCTTTTTTTTTTTTTTTT